GATTACAAATGGCGGATTCGTCCCACAAGTTGGGATAATCCGAATACAATTTGTTTCTCCCAAGAAGTTTACAAAATTCTGCAAATTACCTGCGTTTACCGAAAATCTGGCAGAGTTCCGGCGTCCTCAGGCGGCAGGAAGAGCTCCGGCGGTGGTCGAGGAGGTGAGGAATCTCCTTTTCCCCTTTCTCATCTTCTTCTTCTCTCTCTTCACTTGAGTCCCCTTGGTGTTGAATGAGGGCTATATTTATAGTTTTTCTGGAGTGGCATAGCCCGTAAATAGGCGTGAGACCAAGGGCTAATTGGGAGTGGTTTGAATGGACGGCCGATATCGAATCCTTTGATCATGGACCGTTCGTTGGTCATTTGAAGGCCTTAATGATGTCGGAATTCAATGATCTTAAGCTCGTTGGATTCGTCTCGTCGAGCCGTTCGATTCGAGTATAAGCTCGTCAAAATCGGAGACCGTTTGGTAACTCAAATTGCGATTTGAACCTTCTAACAATGCTTTGAGCCCTTGATTCGGACTCATTTGGGCTCGGTTTGGGTTGATCTTGGTGTCGTTGGGTTTGTATTTCCGAGACGCTCAGTTTGACTGTAAGCTCGCTGAAATCGGAGTTCATATGCTCCCGAAATTCATTTTTGAAGTTTCTGAAATGATTTTACCTCGAGATTCGTGCCCAATCAAGATAATTTTGTGATAACGTATCAACCTTCAATGCCAGTGAAAAATAAAATATGACCCTTCATGCATGCACATTCATTCAATAAGTTATTTTAGAATTGCAAAATTAGTTAAAATTTGTTGAAAGCATTCTCAATTCTATTTTGGAAGGGATTGACGGTAGCTAGCATTCCTTATATAAAGTCAGAAGTGAGTGAAGACTCATAATATTAATTTTCTCTCCTAGATGATATAAGAACAAAAATGTATGTATGAATATCAGAGATAGTAATTATTATCAAATGTTATAAATAAATAACATATTTGATATATAAAAAATTTCAGGATTATCATGCCATCACTTGATACTACCACACGCCACAACTCCCCTTGGCCTATTGGTTGAGAGCTTAGGCTTCAAACTAAGAGGTCCAAGGTTCGAGTCCATGTGTATGCGTTGTGTGTGTGAGTTTGCCTTAAATGGCCTAAATGTCCCAAAAAAAAAAACACTACCACACGAATTAAGACGACAGATTTGTATCTCTTGTTATGCTTTTTTTATCATTTGATTCGAGGAAAGGACAACATTCGATTTTTAACTGCAGTAGAGTAAAAGAGCTTTATTATTTAAAAAAATAAAGATAAAGATAAAATTAAAAATAGAACTACATTATTTTTTCTGAGCTATAAAAATTATTTGATTTCGACAATAAATTTATCTCTTACAAAACATGTGATGCAATTAATGGTGAAGGAAAATAATGTCATAATATTAAATGCTATATATTTATCCTCCAGTTTGTATATTTAAAATAAAAGTTCCTCTATACATACTTAAAGATTGCAGAGAATGCATTGGAAATTACTCTCCAATATGATAAAGCTCGTGTCTAATTTTATTAAACCTCTTTGTTTTTTTTTTCTTAAATAGATTTAGCACGGACGGGGCGATATGAAATTAAATCCAAAATAATATCAATTGAAATCAAATTGGGCCCGACGGGGCGATATGCACTGATCGAGGTTAATTAAACTTGGTCGTTACGCC